AATAAATTAGTCATGCAACTAAAAAAAAAAACTAGAAAAAGAACAAGTTAAAAATCCTCAAACATCAAATTAGAAATACTGAAAACGAAAGGAGAGATTAATAAAATTGAAATTAAGAAAACTCTTGAACTAATAAAAAAACTAAGAGCTGGTTTTATGGGGGAAAAAACCCACCAAAATAGATAAACCTTTGGTTAATTTAATTTAAAAAAAGAAAGAAAACCAAATCACCAGTATCAAAAATGAAATGCGTGAATCCACCACCAAGAAGAGGAAATTTAAATAATAATTAGGAACTATTTTGCCCAACTGCATGCCAATAATTTCATAATCTTAGTGAAATGGATGAATATTTACAAAAATATAAATTGCCCAGATTAATAGAAGACGAAGTAAAATATATAAATAACCCCATCTCAGAAATAGAAATTGAACAAGCCATTGATGAACTCCCTGGGGAAAAAATCTCCAGGGCCAGATGGATTTACAAGCAAATTCTATCAAATGTTTAAAGAATAATTAATTCCAATACTACATAGACTACTTGGGAAAATAGGTGAAGAAGGAGTCTTACCAAATTCTTTTTCTGATACAAATATAGTGCTGATACCTAAACAGAGAAGAGTCAAAACAGAGAAATAAAATTATAGACCAATTTCCCTAATGAATATAGATGCAAAAATTTTAAATAAAATATTACCAAATACATTACAGCAACTTATCACAAGAACAGCACACTATGACAACGTAGTATTTCCACCAGGAATGCAGGTCTGGTTCAATAATACGAAAACTATCAGCATCATTGATCATATGAACAACACTAACGGCAACGACATGGTCTTCTCAATACATGCAGAAAAAGCTTCTGACAAAATACAATACCCATTCCTATTAATAACCATAGAGAGCACAGGAATAAATGGAGTCTTCCTTAAAATAATGAGTAGCATCTACCTAATACCTTCAGCAAGCCTCATATATAATGTCAGCAAGCTAGAAGCATTTCCAGCAAGATTGGGGATGAAACAAGGAAGTTCATTATCACCACTGTTATTCAATATTGTACTGGATACGTTAGCTTTAGCAATAAGAAAAGAAAAAGAAATTGAAGGTATTAGAACAGGCAAAGAAGAAACAAAGCTATCACTTTTTGCACATGATATGAAGACATACTTAGGGGAATCCTAAAGAATCAAGTAAAAACCTACCTGAAATAATAAACAATTTTAGCAAAGTTGCAGGCTGTAAAATAAACCCACATAAATCATCAGCATTTCTATATATTACCAACAAAGCCCAACAGCAAGAGATAGAAAGAGAAATCCCATTTGAAGTTACTGTAGATATTATAAAATATTTAGGAGTCTACCCCCCAAAACAAACCCAGGAACTCTATGAACACAATTACAAAACACTTTTCACAGAAATAAAATCAGATCTAAATAATTGGAAAAACATCAGTTGCCCATGGGTAGGCCAAGCTAATATAATAAAAATGACAATTCTGCCTAAGCTAATTTACTTATTCAGTGCCATATCAATCAAACTACCAAAAAGGTATTTTATAGAGCTAGAAAAAATAATAACAGGATTCATTTCGAATAACAAAAGGCCCAGAATATCAAGGGAACTAATGAAAAGAAATGCTAGGGAAGGTGGCCTAGCTGTTTCAGATCTTAAATTGTATTATAAATCAGCAATCATCAAAACTGCTTGGTACTGGCTAAGAAATATGGAGGTGGATCAGTGGAATAGTTTAGTTATACAAGACATAGTAGTCAATGACTATAGTAATCTACTATTTCATAAACCCAAAACAGCACCTTCTGGGATAGGAACTCACTAATTGACAAAAACTGCTGTGAAAACTGGGAAAAAGTATCTCAGAAACTAGGTAGGCATAGACCAAAATCTCACACCATATATGAAAATAAAGTAAAAATGGGTTCATGATTTAGATATAAAGCCTGAAAATCAAAACAACTCTGAGGTACCACATCACACCTATCAGATTGGCCAACATGACAAAACAGGAAAATGATAAATGTTGGAGAAGATGTGGGAAAATTGGAACACTAATGCATTGTTGGTGGAGTTGTGAAATGATCCAGCCATTTTGAAAACAATTTAGAACTATGCCCAAAGGGATATAAAAATGTGCATATCCTTTGACTCAGCAATACCACTTCTAGGGCTATATCCCAAACAGATCATACAAATGGGAAAAGGACCCACATGCACAAAAATATTCATAGCAGCTCTTTTTCTGGTGGCAAAGAATTAGAAATTGAGAGGATGCCCATCAATTGGGGAATGGCTGAGCAAATTGTGGCATATGAATGTAGTGGAATACAATTGTGCTATAAGAAATAATGACAGATAAATTGGTGGGCGGAGCCAAGATGGCAGCATGAAAGCAGTGACTTGCTTGAGCTCTCCCCCAAACCCCTCCAAGTACATGTAAAAAAATGGCTCTACACAAATTCTAAAGCAGCAAAACCCACAAAAAGACAGAGTAAAACAAATTTCCAGCCCAAGAGAGCCTGCATGGTTGATCAGACAGGCATATCGTACCATGGGGGTGGCGGAGCGCAGTTCGGCGTGGGCACTCAGGCCCCATCGAACCTGGAGCAGGCCTCAGAGGACTGAATCGAGGGCAGCTGTGGCGGTTTCTAGACTCCTCCCACTAACACCGCAAGGCATGGAATATAATATTCCAGAGGGCAAAGGTGAAGGATTACAACCAAGAATCACCTACCCAGCAAAACTGAGTATAATCCTTCAGGGTAAAAAATGGTCATTCAGTGAAACAGAGGACTTTCAAGCATTCTTGATGAAAAGACCAGACATGAATAGAAAATCTGAGTTTCAAATACAAGACTCAAGTGGAACATGAAGAAGTAAACAGGAAAGAGAAATCATAAGAGACTTATTAAGGCTGAACTGTTTACATTCCTGCATGGAAAGATGATATTTATAACTCATGAGACCTTTGTATTAGGGTAGTGGGAGTGGAAAAAATTATATGTATATATAGATAGATACATACATACATACATAGACAAACACATAGAGAGAGAGAGAGAGAGAGAGAGAGAGAGAGAGAGAGAGAGAGAGAAGAGAGAGAGAGAGGGCACAGGGTGAGTTGACGATGAAGGGGTGACATCTAGAGAATAAAATTAAGGGGTGAGGGAGGATTATACTAGGAGAAGGAGAAAGGCAGAGGTAGAATGGGGTACATTATCTCACACAAAACACACAAGAAAAGGTTCTTGCAGTGGAGAGGAAACAAGGGAAGGTGAGAAGAAATTAAGGAATCTTATTCTCATAGTATTTGGCTTAAGGAGGGAATAACACACACACTCAATTGGGTATGGAAATTTGTCTTACCCTACAGGAAAATAGGGGAGGAAGAGTACAAGAGAGCAGGGGGATGATAGAGAGAAGGGCAGATTGGGAAAGGGGTAATCAGAAGGAAGCACTTCTGAGGAGGGACAGGGTCAAAAGACAGAATAGAATAAATGGGGGGGGCAGAATAGGATTAAGGGAAATAAGAGTTAGTTTTTCACAGCATTTCTACCATGGAAGTGTTTTGCATAACTGCACATGTATGGCCTGTACTGAGTTGCTTGCCTTTTCAATGAGGGTGGGTGGGGTGGGAGGAAGGGAGAAAATTTGGAACCCAACGTTTTAAAAACACGTTTAAAAAAAAATGTTTCCACATGCAACTGGGAAATAAGAAATACAGGAAATGAGGAGAACATTGTACACTACAAGTAAGAGCTACGTTGTCTGATGACTAACGTTGATACACTTAATCCCCAGTAATGCAAGGATCTAAGACATCCCCAAATGTCTCATAATGGAAAATGCTATCCACCTCCAAAGAAAGAACTATAGAGTTTTAATGCAGATTGAAGCATACTAATTTGCTATTTTGGTTTCTTTTGTTTTGTTTCCTCTTTCTGGTGGTTCCTCCTATTGGTTTTAATTCTTCCTTACAACATCACTAATGTGAAAATATGTTTAATAGGAATGTATATTTATAGCCTATATCAGATTGCGCGCTGTCTTGGGGAAGGAGCTGGGGATGGAGGCAGAGAAACATTTAAAACACAAAATCTTATTGAAGTCATCTTTCATAAGTCAAAATAAATTAATAAAAAATTTTTTAAAAGCCTTAAAGTTTTGGAGAGGGTCCCATCCCTATCTTTTATATTTGTTGTACCAGAAGAAATATTGGATTTGTAATCAAAGATCTGTGTTCAAAGGCAGGCATTGTGTGACATTGAGCAAGTCACTTCACATGTCTATCCCTCAGTTTCCCTATCTGTAAAATGAGGATAACCTATACCTTATGAGGCCATTCTGAGGTTCAAACAAGATAACTCATATAAACCGTAAAAGATTGTCATCCATATCATTATTATTACCCTGCTGTCTGGTGTGGCATTCAACTTCTTCCTGTTGAAAGACATGTACCCTTTCAGGGTCTTCTTATCCAGTTCCATATTTCTCACCTTCTTATACCTAATTTTCCTACACACTGATAGGCCTGTGATAACAGATAACTTTACTTACAATAAGGCATCTTTCCTTGGAACTCCCTCTTTCTCCAAGCTCATTTCTAAAACCTAGGCCATTATATCATTAGAAAGCTTCTAGTCTGGGGTGGGGAACCTGTGGCCTCAAGGTCACCTGTGGTCCTCATGGTCCTCAAGTGCAGCCCTTTGAATCCAAACTCCAGAGAACAAATCCTCTGAATAAAAGGATTTTTTTTTTCTGTAAAACTTGGACTCAATCAAAAGGCTGCACCCAAGGCCACAGGTTCCCCACCCCTGTAAATCTAGACTATGAGTCTTATAATTATAACCAATGAATACTTAGGACACAGTATGTAATATCAACCTATCTTCTCACTTCTATTCAATCCCTGCCCAACATGATAATTAGGGACATATCAAATTGCCATGAAAAAGGAAGAATGTCAGACAGAATTCACAATGGTTCCAAAAATTCAGTTTACTGTAATGAATATCTTCAAAAGGGGCAAACCATGGATTGGCAAGGGAAAGGGGGAGTGTCAGAAGAATGGAAGACTTTTCCTTTGTTCTATTAGTCTCACTTCTGATGCAGTAAATTGTAATTTCTTTTCTCCAGACCTTTGCTTTTGGCATCTTAGGTACTATGTTCACTGTAAAACAAAGGGAAATGCTCAACATTAGCAGCAGCCAGCTTCCCACTGTGAATACTATGAACTGCAAGATAGGTAATGTAGCCAGCACAATTCAGTGTCATACTAGAGGTGATTCCTTGTTACTTTAGAAACATCTAACGCTGCATCAACTTTTCCAAACTTACACATTTGTGAATTTTAAATTCAGTTCAATGTATTTAATGACTATCATGTACTAGGCGCTGGGATTAAAAAATCAAAATAGATAAAAGTTCTTATTCTCAAGGAATTTATATTCTGCTGGGATGGGTAAAACCACATAGAGAAAAGTATAATACAATGTAGGGCAAAGGACAAAGTGCTCTAATTAAATTGGAGTAGGGAGGGAACATTCTCATCTAGTCAGGGTGAGCATGTAACAAGGAATTTTATATACTTTTTAAATATGATAAACTTCATATATGTACTTACCTGCTACTGCTATATGAATATGTACTGAATTCTGATCCAGATCTATGTAAAAGCAAAAATATTGTTTTAAATTAGCAATTATGCCAAGGCAATATAATATCAAAGAATATTTTCTTTGGAAGATCAGTTTCTACAAGTATCTAACTCTACTTTTATTTAAAACACACTGCTACAAATTCAACTTCCAGATAACTTTCTCCCTCTGTCAAGAAGTATACTTCTGTGGCAAATCAGGATTGGAGGAGTCAGGTCACTGTGTCTTCCCTGGCCACCTTCCTGAATCTTTAGAAGTGGTTGCGCAGGGCTCCCTAAAAAGTCAAGGCCATAAAAGTTGCTAATGAAATGCCAGGAAGAGTATATCGCTATCACAGGGTTTTGTATATTTTTAGCACCTAGACAGTGAGTGCTTGCTTTAACTGCTCACAGATTCAGTGTATAGGAAAGTACCTCAACTAAACTGATTTTAAATACCTAAAAATTGTTCATGGTTTGCTTTAATGAAATTTATCCCTCTTCAGTTGGTAGATGACCTATATTCATTCTCATCGTCTTTACCTGGATATGATTTACAAACTGTGACCATTTTATGTATTATTCTCTTTTCTCTTTTCACCTTACTCTGTATTCGTTCATGTTAATGGTGAAATGAAACTTGGTTCTTCTCACATTACTCTGAATTCTTCATATTAATTGGTTTTGCACAATATTTTATTATACTCATATACCCCAATTCATTTAGGCATTCCCCTTTCAAATACATTTTTCCATCATTGTTCGCCGCTATTTGATGGAAGTCACTAAGTTCCATTAGTGAGGTGGTTTATAAAATAGTGTCAAGTTCTTCATAGAATTTCTCTGTTTCTTCATCCTCTGCAAAATAATGGCACATAAGCTACAATAATCAACTTTATTGTAGTCTTTTTGATTACGTTTTTCAAGAGCAGTGTGAATCTAGATGACCAAATGTACCATGAAATCAAGTTTCTTGTTTCCTTTGGGTACAAAGTGAAATCAACTCCATCAAACTTCTTTATTTGCCTGCACAAAAATAACCAATGATCCATCTTTCATTTATTTATAACTTTCTCATTTCTTTTGGTTACATTTAGAGTTAGAATGTCAGTATTGATATAATTTTACTCCTCCATATAATGATTCATTGACCATTCTAAAAGTATCTCATTTTTAAAATGCCCCAACTTCTTTAATACTTTAATGTTTGTGTTTTCGTCAATGTGAGTACTTCCTACAAAAATGGAAATTGTAACCTGTCCATGCCTCCTCATTCTTCCAACTTTTGTCTACATCCTCCCATGGTTTCTCCCCAGGTTGTCCACCCAGCTTTCTGAAGGTTTCCCTCTAACTCTCCTGATATTTCTTGGAGCACACAGGCTGTCTGTCCATCACTTATTCTTTGCTCTTGCTACATGACTTCTCTGATTGCATCCTTTATGCCACATCCAAAGCCTTCTCATCTTGCACTTTTCTTTGGATGATATTTGGACACTATAATATTTAACAAGACTCACAATCACACATCATCAAAAGAATATTAATACTGAAAAAATGGGCCTTTGTTTCAGGGACAATACCTAACATTTATATAGTGCTTTTGAAATTGGTGAAGTGCTTTACATATGTTATCTCATTTGATCCTCATGAGCCTATGAGGCAAGTACTATTATTATCCTCATTTTATACATGAGGAAACTGAGGCTGAGAAAGGCTGTGACTTGACAGGGTCATACAATTACTAAGTGTCTGAGGAGAGATTTTAGCCCAAGTCTTCATTACTACAAGTCTACCATTCTATCCACTGTGAAACACTGCCTCCTATTACACTGCACAGTTTTCCAAAATTAGCCCAGGCAACTTCCCCTCTCTTGCACATCTCAGGGCTTAGGTTATTCCTCAAAACTGTCTGTCCAAGATATAGGTACTATGAGTTGTCTATATAACAGCATATCATAGTCTGCATAATACATATTCTTCATTCACCTGGATTTTCAAATTAGCTAGTTAGTCTGAATTCTTTTGAACCATCAAAATTCTTTTAGGAAGCACTATAAAATTCTATCATTTGATGAAATCAGCACAATGTTATCTGCAAATAGAAGCACCTGAAAGACCTCACCATTTCTAAGGAATCTTTTAATTTGGACAATAGTGTACATGATGTAGCAAACATATTTACTAAGCATATTTCTGTTTTGTGCCTTATTTAACATTAAGGTTATATTCAGAGGATTATCTAAGTTGTCTCAATAATAATATCTTTGAAGGAAATGTTATGATTGTGTGATCTTCATGGAAAACACACTAATGGAAGACACCCTTTAAGGTAGCATTTTGCTTTATGAAATAAAGTGCCTTTTTATAGTCCCCCCCAAAAATATACATTGAGATCTCATGATGTCTATAAATTTCAGTCAATTTTGTAACCACAAACATGGTGTTCTGTAGAATGTAACTTTTAAAATCTTTACTGTTGCCTGCTCATACCTAAACAGTTCAAAAATGAAAATGTTCATAAATTTCATAGTTCACAAAAATATTTTGTAGACATAGGAATAATGATTAGTAGTTACTGATATTTTTGGTCATTATCTGTGGTAACGATGTTTGAGGTCTTCCCAAGTCTTTGTTATTCTCCCTTTTTTCAAATACATTGAGAATCAATTTTTTAATAACTTCAAAACTGAGTTGTGATCTAGTTTGGAACCTCTGTGTATTCTTTACCCAGTCTAGCTATCATTTACATCTTTCTTTACTGCCACTTCGATTTCCTCATACAGCAAACTAAGAACAGTAATTTTAAGAGTCTGAATATGGTGGCTCTATTGAAATTAAGGAAGAGACGACTTTATTATGGAACTTCTTATAAACTTCTATTTTTCTGCCATGTATTGTCCTCTTCCCAATTTATACTTTTTTATCTTTAGGATGATTTGGCTTAGTTAAGTTACTCAAAAAGCTTTCTGAAAATATGATTTTCTCTCCACTGCTATTGTTTTATGAGGTGATACTGCTCACACTCTACTCCATTTCATATTTTACAAATGAGTTTATGTTTTAAATCCTGTTGCCCTTCTCTGACATACTTCTCATCTGATGAGGAGATTCATTGATAGATGAAGCCATTTCTAGCCTCCTTTAGTCTCTTCATTATGACAACTGATTTATGTCAGGTAAACCTCCCCAGGAAATGGTGTGTTTATATCTGGTTTTTTTTATACTTTTCTCATTTCTCAGTATCAATACCTTATTTAAGTGGATCAATTTGAAGATGCCTCAATTGCACTCCATATATCTTCTCATTTTTATTCTTCTAGTTTCTACTGAACCTAAAACCTTCATTCTTACAAATCATTGATCCAATTTTATGCTGAATGCTAATTTAGAAATGACTTTTACATCAATAACTAGTCATTTTCTGCCCATTAAAATGTAATCTATTTTATTATTTGTGGGGCTAAGGTGCTCTCCTCCTTTCATGAGCATTTTTTTCTCTGGAGCTCAAGATAGGTTTTTACCACTAAACTTTCAGACACTCAAATTCACTATTCTAATTAGCTACTTCTAAAAATAGTATCTGGGATTTTTATACATTTTATTTTATACAATCTTTTTTGGTTATAATATCTGAAATTTCATACCAGCACCAGTGGTTTTATAACCATACCCTACAAGATATAACCAAATTCTTTAACTAATCCAAGCAGACTTCCTTTGCAACACTTTATACACTGGTTTTCAAAGATATCTAAATTGATCAAGGACTTTTCCCATAGTCTCACGTCTATAGACAAGTGATTGATTCCGTGTTATTGGTCTTATTTACACCCATTAAACAACTGAAGATGAATTTATACCTCATGCATAAAAATACACAAATTCAATTTACTCAGTAATTGGTGATTCCTTTGGAGATAAGCATCCCTTCAGAGATTTCCATTTAACAGTTATTATGGCTATAATGAAAAGAATAGGTAGAGAAATGTAGAAACTTATAAGCAGCCAGTTCTTCCTAGGATACTCTGTAGCTCTGCCATTGAAAGAGCCTAAGAATAAAAAAAGAAACAGCAAGAAATTCAGAGTAATATAAACTGGGCTTTCTGCTTTTAACTATGACATAAAAACCAGTTACATGGAACATATAGGTTATTTTTTTCCAAGTAAGGCTAAAATAAATATAGACAGATTTAAAAGCAACAGCCAACAAGTCAGTCAACATTTATTCAGTGCTTATTATGTGCCAGGCATTTTGCTAAGCCCTGAAAATGCAAAGAAAGGGGGAAAAAATCATCACAGATAATGAATCAGTATTAATTCTTAGAATATGTGTGCTAAATGGCATGGCATCTAAATACATAGAGGACAAGTCAATCAGATTGCAGAAAGAAAGAGTAAAACTATAATAGTGGAGTACCCCAATGTGTCCTTTCAGATAGGAAGTATACTAGAAAAATATAACAGAAAGGTAAGAAAGAAGTTAAAAACCAGAATAGCATTTTAGAAAAGTTAGATATGAAAACTATCTGGCAATTATCACATGGGAATTGAAAAGAGGAACAAACATTTCTCAGCTGTGTATAGCTGTGTATAGCTGTGTATATGGAAAAAATTACTCTGTATTAAGCCATAAAATCCTCAGGGAAAAAAAGTGAAGCAGAAATATTAAAAAGCCTTTTCAAAGCACAATGCAAGTAAAATTATAGTTGATAAAGACCCTTTGAAGAAAGGGTCAAAATAATTGAAGACCAAATAATTTATTCTTAAAGAATTGATAGATCAAAGAATGAATCATGGCAATGGTAGAAAACTTCTTCAGAGAAAATGACAATGATGAGATAGCATTTCAAAGCAGTCAGGAGAAATTTTACACATCTAAATGCTTTCATGAATATAAGAGAGAAAAAACTGATTAAAGAACTGAGAATGTAACTAAAAGAATATAGCTAAACAAAAAGTAATTTAAATACCAAACACTAAATTAGAAATTTGGAAAATTAAAGAAAATGTTAACAAAATAGACAGAAAAAAACCCCTTTGGATTAAGCATAAAACTAAGAACTGTTTTTTTAAACTAATAAATTAAAGACTTAGTTGCTCTGATTTTTTTAAAAGAGAAAGAAAATAAAATAATCATAAAAATAAAAAGTGAGAATTCAAACCCGAAGATAAAATAAAGGAATTTATCAGAAACTGTATTGCTTAATGTAATACCAATAAAACTGATAACAAATGAAATGTATACATATTTGCAAAAATATACAATATCCAGATTACCAAAAAAAGAGAATATTCAAATAACTCAGTATCAGAAAAAGAAAACTGAACAAAATATAAATGAATTCCCAAAAGGAAAACAGGACCAGATGTTTCACAAGTGAATTCTATTACTCTAAAAGAATAATTCCAATTTACATAATCTATTTGTGAATAAAGGAAAAGAAGGGATCCTTTTAAACACTTTTGATGACACAAAGCAGAAAAAGAAAACTCAAATGACTATTTCTGAACATCAACACAAAAAAATTAATTAAAATATTAATAAAGCACCTAACATTTTTAAAAGGTTGGATTTATGCCAAGAATACAGAGTTTTATCCATTTATGAAAACTATAAGCATAATAGACCAAATTATTAACAAATAATAAAAAATAACTGCATCATAATTTCAATAGATGCTGAAATTTTTCTAACAAAATATAAAAGGCTTTTCTGTTAAAAAATACTGAAACACATAGGAATAAGTGGACCTTGCTTTAAAATGATACAGAGTATATGCCTAAAATCTAAGAACCCTGGCTGAGGAGTAACATACTTGACCTTCTGGCTGGGAGGACAAGGCAGTATGTTATAAATGCAGTGTCCCACAACTATTCCAGAAGACCAGCGATGAACCTTCTCTATACCTCCTGATAGAGATATTGTATCCATAGCATAGAATGACGTGTACAGGTAAATATTTTGAGATACAGTTAAGGTGACTCGATTAGGAGCATTTGTTACAAGGGACATACAGATATCATGGTATTCTGGGGATATATCCATTGGATCTGACTGAAGCAAGAATGTAATTGCCGCAAAGCTACCTTGGACAGGTTCACTGATTTTACTCCTCCCAGGAAAGGTCTCCAGTCCTACTTTGTATTCATTATTATTCGTGATAATAATGGTTTCTATTTACATAGTGTCTTAAAGTTTGCAAAGTATTTCATACATGTTCAGGGAAGTGGGATGGAGGGTAGAGGGGGTGGAATGGGAAGGTTTGAAGACTCACTCTTCTCCTAGCTCTACTCCTGGCTCTCTTCTCCAGACACTGGCCTCCTACCCTGGAGATCCCTCTGCCCCTGTGGCTGGCCTCCTGTTCCCATTGACAGCTCCTTGCTCCCTCCTTCTCATCTGCATGCACCACTCTTCAGCTTCCTTTAATAAATTCTTCTGTTCCAGGAGAATGCAAGCTCCTTGAGAGTAAGAACTGTCCTTTTCACTTGTCTTTGTATCCCCAGTGCTTAGCACCAGGCCTGGCACACAGCAAGGGCCTCATGAATGCTTTTATATCTAGCTGGCTAGTTACTTTGGCTGACTATCTCAGAGCTCACAATACACTATCATGAACTGGCCACGATGCTGAACCACAGTGAGGCAGCTGCCCAATACCAATAAAAATTCTGCCTTAAAACACAGGTTGCCAGGAGGATGCTATGTTCTTCCATCATAGAAACTTCCCAATAAATAATTATTCCCCTTAATTTATCTATAACAAATGCCCGTTATGCTTGGTTTTTGGCATATATTTGAGTGTAACCCACCAACTCACATGACCCAAAAATGCCAGTTATCATTTCTTGTTCTGCCTAGCACTAGCAGGTGAAGGTGGCAGCACAGCTTTCCTAGCAGAATTGGAATCGTCACTGTGGGAATAGGGCGTTCCTGATGTGGTGCATGCAGTACCATCCCCTATAACTATGGAACTTCCTATACCAGTCCTGTACAGGCAATTGGAAGGATTCTCCCACACTTAATGGTTGATGACGATATTATCAGTGGCCAAAGCTCTGTTATGGATAATATACTCAGGAAAAAATAAGACCTCAGTTACACATGTAATCAGGTGGCTGAATCTAAGGGTAACTTGTCTTATTACCTTTAATAATATCTCATACTAAAATGCACCCATATTTTGCAAGCATTTAATTTTTATTATTTCACAACACTATAAGGTGGGTGCTATTATACTCATTTTACAAATGAGGAAAATGAGGCCTAGGAAGGGTAAACTTAGCAAGTCCCACACAGCTAGTAAGAAACTGAGGTGTGATTTAAACCCAGGTTTTCCTAACTCCAAATCTAGCATTATATCACTGAATATGAAAGAAACCCTCTGAGTGCCTCATTAAAATAACTGACCTAAAGGGCAATATGAAACTCAGAGACGAGGAATGAATCACAGGTATGAATAGATACATAGATGGATAGCTGAATCGATGGATGGATCAATGGAAAGATGGGTAGGTGGATGAATGAAAAAGCATATACTGGGACAGGTACTGTACAAAGACCTGGGGATGCAAATACAAGCAAGAAAAACAGTCTCTATCATCAAGGAGCTAGTAATCTGAGTGAAGAAAACACATAAAGGGAAGCTGGAAAGCAGCATTGGAGAAAGGTGGAAAGAGAGCTTTGATAATGTCTGGGAGGTGATATGGTGGCCAGGTTACAGAAAAAGTAAGGTCTCCCAAATAAAAGCCCAAGATACCAGGGGACAGAGTCCAAGATCTGATGGGAGACAGATGAGGAAGATGGCCAAGACATATGTGGAATAATTTGAAATGTCCCATAAGTTACTGGTGGTCTGGGTTCTAGGCAGGATAAGGTGAAAGCTCATCTGTCACAGTCCAAAGCTCCATGGAAACACCAAGAATCTGGGCTTCCCATATCAGACACCATACCCCTTTCTCATTTTTTCTTGAATTGTATTGCATGCTGGCATTGCTGAATCCATTGATCATCAGCAATTCTGTACTGCTATAGCCAAGGTTAAGTACACCGGAGTTGATCCCAGCCCAACCAGGAAGATTCATGGGTATCTTTCCCTTGAGTAATCGACTATGCACTTTTTTTTTTCCTTTCTACTACATGAGAGTCTGAGTGCCCTATATTCCTTTCCTGATGCTGATAAAGTTCATTTAATTCTATGCCATGCTTTTGCTCATTTGTTTATAGGCTGTATTATGGATACTAACCTCTTCTCCACGGTGAAAGATACTGAATGATTCTACTTTTCCTTACAGCACATGCTGGGGGGTGAAAATCTAATTCACATATGCATATATTTTCATTATTAGTGCATGCCTAAGACAACACAAAACATTAAAAATGGAAATTTACTTAGAGTGATATACATAAATGATTATTTGGATGATCTTTCTGCATACATATTTTCTTTCATATATATAGTTAAAACTGTTTTAATATACATATAATTTGTATACAAATTTGAATATAAATATTTATATATCTATATGCTTAGCTATATTCATCATAGCAAAGATTTTTTAAAAGCTAAATAACTTCTTCAAGGTCAATTAATGATTACCAGTATTTCTCTAAATAGTCTAGTGAGGCCATTTGACTAAACGGCTACTTAAATCCCCAAAACAGATCAACAAGTCAACAAGCTTTTTATTAAGCATCAGGAGTTGTGCTATGTACTGCACAAAGAAAGATAAAAATAGTCTTTGTTCTCAAGGAGGTCACATTCTAAAGAAAGGGATAACATACAAATAACTACATACATGTCAGTTAAATATAGGGTAGTTTGGAAGTAACTTTAGAGGGAAAGCATTAACATTAATGGGGACTAGGAAAGGCATCTTTTAAAAGGTGAGATTTCAGCTGAGACTTGAAAAGATTCAGGGAAACCAAAAGTCAGAGACGTAGAAGAAGAATATTGCAGGCATGGAAGATAGCCACTAAAAATGCACACATTTGGGAAATGGAGCATCATGTGTGAGGAACAGCAAAGAGACCAGGGTCCCTGGATTACAGAGTACATGAAGAGGAAGAGGGGAGATGTTTTCCCCAAACTCACATTACTTTCCATTTTGATCAGAGAAAAGTAAAAATTTTATAATTAATTGGTATTGTATAAGAAAATGTGTGCTAATATGAAAAGGAAAGATTCAGTGAAGAAAACTAGCTCTGTTGACAGGGTCGGTATCAGATTGGGGAATAAAGAGGTGAGAGATTGAGAAAGTAGTGAAAGAAAGTGAAAAATCTCTTTCTGGTGGTTCCTCCTATTGGTTCTAATTCTTAATTACAACATCACTAATGTGAAAATGTGTTTAAGAAGAATATATATGTATAGCCTATACAAGATTGTGCACTGTCTTGGGGAGGGAGATGGAGAGGGAAAGGGAGAAAAATTCAAAACTCAAAAGCTTATGGAAGTGGTTGTTGATAAGTCAAAATAAATTAGTTAAAAAAATTTTAAAAGTGAAAAATGATACCTATAGAATGATGCGATTATATTATCAGAAAATAAACTCCTCTTTTGATCTGAATGCTGTGAAATTATGAATTTGAGCTACCACTTAGACAATGTTTTTTCATTATGGTTAAAAAACTGTTTGAAGCATTTCCTTGGGTACACTTTGCTTTAAAATTGATGATGATGGGGGGGGGAGAATAAATACTAGTGTTTGAGAAAAGTACAAAAGATCTTGTAAATTCTCATTATCTACAAAATTCTTTGGGTATTCACAAGATTTTCAGTACTTTTGAATCTTCAGCCTTGGCAAGATCAAAAATCTTATCAGTTGTTTGAAAGGAGTTACAAGAATGTGTGTAACTAATGAGAGCCTTATAAATTCTAAAACAGTAAATTGTTTTACCGAGGAACTGAGATCCCCTCCTCCAGTACAAATACTCATAGTCAAAGTGGGGGAGCAATTTACCTTACAAGTTCATTTTTAGTATAGAAGTGATTTCTATGGTGAATTGTCTGGCTACCAATTGTGGAAATTATGAAATTGTACCGAGAATATTTTTGCAGGAATTAATATGCAATACCTTAAGATATCCAGGATAACAGAAGTCAGTGTTTTTCTTGATTATAAGCAAACTATCATTCATTTTATATGATATTATTTTCTTAATATTTACTGATTGATTAGTAAAATGATAAATGGATGCTTGGGAAATACTGAAAATTTTTAATGTATATTTTTTTTGTTATTGTGACATGAAAGGCAACTGTACCCTGCTATATTCTATAATACTTTGATAAACTTAGCTCTTCTGAGGAATGCAAGAATCTTAGACAACTCCCAAAGACTCATGATGGAAAATGCTATCCACATCCAGAGAAACAACTTTGGAGTCTAAATGCAGGTGGAAGCATACTATTTGCTCTCCTTTTCTTTTGTTGCTTTGTTTTGTTTCTTCTTTCTTGTGGCTCCTCCCATTAGTTCTAATTCTGCTTTACATCATGACTAATGTGAAAATACGTTTAATATGAATAGATATGTAGAGCCTATATCAGATTGCACACCATTTTGGGTAGGGGAAAAAAAGAGGATGAGAAAATTTAAAACTCAAAATCTTATGGAAGTGAATGCTGAAAACTAAAAATAAATAATTATTTTTAAAAAGAAGGAAAAAAAGGATAACAAATTGAACATAATAGATTTGCACCTTCATGTGCAATCACCTTTTTTATTATGTTATGGAAATTCTTGTTTTATTTCATGAATTACAAATAAATAAATAACAACAATTTAGCTTTCCTTTGCTCTTCTATAGCATTTATAAAAAGAGTTTGACCATTTTCTTCCCCTGCTCAAAAAGCTTCAGTGGCTCCTTATTGCCTGTAGAGTAAAATAAAAACTCTAGTCTTTGACATTTAAAGTCCTTTTTATGGCTCCAACTGACCTTTTCATACTTAATATAGATCAACTGTCTGTTCCTTGCATATAACAACTCCCACCTTGGAGCCTTTCCACAGGCTGTAGCTCATTCCTAGTATACACTAAATTTGCATTTACACACACACACATATACATATATAATACATATCCACCATGTGTTTTAAAAATGTATCGATAATTCCTTTTTTGTTTTTCTGAACTTGACAAACATCAACATAAGCATTTCCATTTGCAAAGAAGAGC